AAATTGAATTTTCAAATGTAGGGGAGTGTGTAATTTCCACAAAATATAATTCTGGGTTCCAATCCATTTACCAAAATTGTGTTTTTTGAAGCATGACTTTGGCCTTTTGGATTGCTTTGATCTGTACCCTTCATTTGGTGAAATTGTGACCGTTTGGTATGTGATTTGTACCTGAGTACATAAATGCCTCTCTCTCAGACTCTCACTCCCCGCCCCTCCCCTTCATGAGGTGGAATGCATTCCGAGTGATTGGTTTTCTTTGGGTTTTCTTGTCTGATTTTTCTGTAATCTTTAGTATTCTCTCTGTAAATTGTTAAAATTTTTGTTATGATTGTTTTTCGTAAACAATCGTTTGAGAGGAATTTTGTATAAATTACTTGAGTTTTGTGTTAAAAGAGAGGCGAGAGAATTTAAACAAATCTCTGATTTCTTCAGATATTTGTACTATTTCTTGGTAAAATAATAGTGGAACCGAGTGTAATCTACTTGTAGATGTTCAACGGGTGTATAAGCCTAAAGCTGAACATCTGAGCTAGTGGCAAAACATTCTTCATGTTCTTTTAAATTTTCTGCAAAATTTATACTGTCTACAAATCATTGTTGTTAATCCGATTCTGAGACCAACAACCTCAAACAAATCAGATCAAGGGGTCTATCAATTTTCAATGTAGTTTCTTATAAAAATCTGCTTGCTTGACATGTTACCAGTCGGTGTATGGTCGACCAACAACTTACACGGTAGATTAGAAATTAACTGAAATACACTGCTGTTGTAGACTTTTTCAAAAATTTGATGCATTAAGAAAGGGAACATTGCATCCCAATTCCATAATATATTATCTTTTAAAGAAAGTCTTCAAGCTGTCATTTAACTTGAAAATTAGTCATCAATGATAGAGGTAGTCCACTTTTAACATGTCCAATTTGAAACTTCTTGACACAAACTAGAGTTGAGTAAAGCCAACTTCCTTTGTAGAAAAAGCATGTTCGAAAAACTATACGAACATTCGGGACGGTGTGATTTGTTAAAATGAATTTATATAGTAGAAATTGAATAAAAGTTCCCTATTCAATAAAACGTGCAAGTAAAAGATGAAATTCGACCAATATTTTAGCATACTAACAAATATATAAGCGAAGGCGAAAGCAACTTTTTTTGATGCATGCCTTAGGAACAGTAACATTGAAACTTTTGACTGATGATCAAAGACATGACCTCTCCATGTTTGGATCTATTTATGATATTCTGACCATATTCATAATAAAGTTAAAAGAGACATGACCTTTCACAGTTGAAACGAATAAATAGATAGATAAAACCTAAAAACGACAAAGAAATACGGGAAGAAATGCCATGCATAAATCAAGTCCAAGCAGCTTATAGTTTATGTTAAATCACATTGAGAAAACGACATTATTAAGCTAATTAACATAATTTGTTGATATAATACATTAATTTCAAGGTTGATACAGCTTATCTCCGCACCTGCATTTCCATGCGAGAAGATAGTAAGTGTCATCTCCTCTGTTAGATAATTTTTCGAAGACCTTTTTCCGGTGGGGAGGAATTACTACTGTGGCCTCACATGGCCTGCAATTCATGCATTTGTTCACGCAACCTGGAGGTCTTGATCCCAAAACCATTTTCCTCAGCTTCTCAGTTGCACTGTCGCTCGATGGCCCATTAATTTCAACTGACATTGATCAGAGCACAGTCAAGAAAAAATCATACACATGGCTTAACACAAAAACTGAGAATCAGTGCTTCTTCTTTTACCTGATTTGGGAATGAGTAACGAGAGAGAGAACAAGAGGGTGGCTGCAGTGACAGCAAAACCGAGAGCTAGCTTGTAGTTTCTTGAGAGGGCCATCAGTTTATATCAGAATCCCAAGTCTCTATCTATGTATGTAAACATAGGGTAAAGAAACTGTGACA